GCTTACTTTCTGTTAAACTTCTGCCGTGAATGTTAGATTTTATGCTAAACTTCATGTCGAATCCCACTATTGACTTGAATGTTTGCTTACAAATGTTATTACTATCATTTAACAAACATGCTGCTGGAAGAACCATATTGGAAGATTAATAGTTATTGGCAGAATCGTTTTCTTCTAAAAGTGGATCGAAGGAATTGATTTTTATCTTCAGCAGATCAAATTAAAATCTTCGCCCCATTTTCACTGAGGAAAAGAGCGAAAAGTTTGTGCTCGATTGGTTTTTTTTCTCCAGACAAATTTCAACTTTTTAGTTAGCAGCTCTTGACAAAATCTTTTTATACTGTCTGAAAAATATTGATACCCAGGGCACAAAATATAGAATTTTTTTTTAACCCGTGGTCGCTTTTTGCAAGCCTGTAGCGGTTTGAATCGGGAATTTTTTTGTCTACTTTTTTCAAATTTTAAAAATCAACGCGGTAGCGCCAATTTAAACCATTCCAAATTTAATTGACGCAAAATATATCCCTTTCTACGTTACAAAACGTGAGAGGGAAAAATTTGAAAAAAAAGATAACTCGCATGAGGGTGAATTGATAAAATAATCGATGTTTTTTTTTAAATTTTTTTTTCGTCTATCCCAACCATGCATGCTATGAAAAGTTCAACTGACATTTTTTAAGGGGGTAACTCATTAAAAAGAGGAACTCATTTCTTGCCTCAATTCAATTTGCAACAATTTATTTTGTCGCTTAAACTTAAGTAGCACGATTTGCATCGTGGGTTAATTATCCCAAATCGGTCAATTTAACAATTTTCAAATACTCATAACTTTTCAAAAATTATCAGAGTCAAAATAACTTCTGAGCAAAAGTTGAGCTCCGGAAAATGTCAATAATGGTTGGTTAAAACATCAAAACTGATTTGGAGAAAAAACCACCCCGCCAAAAAATACACATGCACCAATCAAATCTTACTTGTTTGGTCACAGAAATTTGATTGGACTATGCGGTTTTTTAAAATTTGATTGGTCCTCTTTTGCTCTCCAACCATATTTGCCTATAATAAACCACCCAAAAATTATTTTTTTGGTTGTTGTTCCGACTATTGAAAATGAGAAGGAACTTTGTATTGGCTTGTGTTTTGTTTTTTTTTCCTTGCAAAATCAGGTACCACGAACAATCATCGTAATGGGCGGAGTAATATATCATTCTAAAGCATTTTCAGTCGTGATTCGAAAGACAGTAGAAAAACTTCAAATTACATTCACAGTGTCGAAAAAAAAACGATTTAAAATTTTAGATTTTTTTGTATAATTTCTAAATTATGATAATTAGTTGACCGTGTAGGCTTACAATAGCTTTTTTAAGCTTTATATAAGCCGTGAAAACTTCAATTTGATCGAATAAAGAAAACTTTTGGAGTTTTTCAGCGCAATTTTGGCTACAAAAAGTTTGAAAATTCAAAAAAATTCCGCAAAAAAACTGAAAACTATTTAAAAATATTTTCCAAATTTAATTTTTTTTACGTTTTTCTAGTCAGTTTTCTTCAAAAACTGATTTTCAATTGACCAATTTTACTATAATTCTCAAATATGTCTAAGTTGTAATTTTACGTTCAGATCTTTTTATCACAACCTGCAAAAAAACGACCCCAACTTGAAAATACTTTTCTTTTGTATTTTTTTAACACTGTGTTCTGAACATTCTGAGCTTCTTGCACAGGAACTCGCTCTCCTTGTTTGGAATTATTTTATTTTTTGGAACAACTATCTGTGCTTTAGAATAACTTTTGCTAAGTTAGCTTCAGCAGCAGTGACTGCTCTCAGCTTTTTTAATTCGTCTATGTGAATGCTTTTGTTGCTACTAATGAAAATACTGGGAGAAACATTATTTTAATACTCCAGTGAAAACACTGAGAAACTTTGAACGGAAGGTTGTTAAACTATTCTATCCCTCCCCCCGTTTGTACTATGTAAACTATTTCCCCCCTATGAATGTATTATTTTTGGCAATCACTTCTGTATAAAATATGCCACCATTTAATTTAGGTTTTAATTTAGGCGTTCGCGTTTGTATTACTATAATATAAACGTTTTTATATAATACATACATTAGGGAAATTAACATAATTTTTTTTTTGAAGAATTTTGAAGTAATTCAGGTATTTTAGCACTTTGATTGTTTTGAAGTATTGAAAATGTGTCAACCAACTTCATTCCGCAAACAAGAATGGATAGAAATCGATCATGTACTGAAAAGTTTTCAGATTAACTCAAGTACAGCATCGTTTTATCTACAACCATTTTGCGAACAATAATCAATTCCATACAGATATAATTTACTTTTTTTCCACCAAAATAAAAAAAAGATTTTAGTGACAAAATTTTTTTTATACCCTATAAAATCTGTATATTGTCAGTATATAATCTTTAAGCAATAAAACTTGTATATAATCAGTAGATAATCTGTGGATCAACTGTAGACAATCAAAATATAATCTGTATAAAATTTGCATCAAAGTGATTATACTACCTAGAAACTATAGGGGTCGTCGAAAAGATTTCAGTTTTGATCAATCAGAGTTTAAAGTAATGATTTTTTTTTCACAAATCCAACAAAAATTTGTGATCAGGATAAATTTTTCTCCTTGTTACAGTGAGTTGAACTCGCTTGAGGAAAATTGCTTAACGCAAATTACAAATTTCGAGAGACCACTCTAAGATTTTGCATCCTAAGGATTACCGCGGAAAGAAAAATAATTTCATGCAAAATTCTTCAAATGCCATTTAAAAAGTGAGCCTTTTCAGGGCAATTTTGTGAGAAAAAAATCAACAAAAGTCAGAAAAGTTAACATAATGCAATTACTTTTGCTGCAATTTATTTCCACAAAACTGAATGAAAATTTCGGATCAATTATCAGTACAAAAGTTTCAAGAAAAAGCCTACATTTTAATTTTAATTCAACATACTCATATATATGCATAGTGAGCATGTTGAAAAAATCAGTATAAAATCTGTATATAACATGTAGATTGTCTATATTAAATCTGCATATAATCTGCAGGGGCTGATCTAGGATTTTCTCAAAGAGGGAAGCAGATTTTCAAAAACAATTTTAAAATTATGTCGACCTTTTTTATAAGTTGACCAAATTGATTTTTTGAGCTTTTCCGAATCACTATAAAGGCCACATTTTGATCAAGTTTTCCGCGCCGAAAAAACAGACCAAACAAGGCGTTTAGGAACTTTTTGGCAAATTTTGACCAAAAAATCGCGTATTTTTGTCGCGCGTTCCCCGCTCAAAATTAATATATATTGGCGCCGAAGGGCCCTCAGAAAAATTTTTAGGGTCCGTCAGTCAAAATTTTTTCAGCAGGGGTTCGAATCCACTGGTGTTAATCTGTATATAATCTTCCTATAATTTGTATATAATCTGTAAACTATAGATTATCTGTAGATAATCTGTATTTAGTCTGTATCTGATCTGTACATATTATACAGAAAATTTGATACAGAAAAAAAAACAGTTTTATATTGTTTTGGTAATGATAACATGATGAAGATGTTAAGTATGAAACTTTTGCTGAACAATATGCAGCATAATCGATTATCAAAACCACATAATTGAAATTTTACTATACAAAGTTACAACAGATCTGAAATCTGCATATTTTTTCAGATAATTGATTTTTATCCACTTTTGGCACTGCGGGGAGTTTGTGAAAATCGAAAAAAGGGAGAGAAACAGTTAACAAGATCCCATGAACGAAGCAATTGTCTTTTTTTATCAATGCGGTATCCGGTGCCTCAATCTCAATGAAACGTCTAAGGAAATTAGTATTACCATAATTTTAAACGTTTTTAGCCTTGAATTGATATAAATACAAAATCTGTTTACTTTATGGAAACTTCATATACAAAAACAAATAATAAAACACTTGTGGCAGCTAGTTTCCAATTCTCAATTCCGCCTACAGAACCAATTAAATTTTTGAATTTATGTTTGCTCGTTTTGATATTTCTATTTTTCAGCAAAATTGACAAATATAACAAGGATAGCCGGTTACTGTGCAAGTAGCACAGAATGTTCCGACCATTATCTTTACACTAATTTAAGATGTTTTTGAAGTTTTTAATGTATTTCGAATCACGACTGATGGGGCTTCAAAAGGATATATTATCACTCGAAACTTTCCGCTGATTATTTGTGGTAGCTGATTTTGCGTGGAAAACAAAAAAAAACAAAAACACACCCGAATACAAAGTTGCTCCCCATTTTTCTATTCAAATAGTCCGAACAATGAAAGCAACCGAAAAATTTTTTCCATTGTTGTTTCAGAAAATATAAAAGATTTGTAACCTTAACAAGCAGAAAAGTTTTAGCAGAAAAGAACATTTTGTGCGAGGGCGAGGGAGCGCTCGACACAAAACTTTTTTGAGATAAAAATTCATGCAACCAGTATCTCATTCGTAAAGTAGCTCTAAAGAGGATTGCCAGGGCTGCTGTTTCCTCCGTACCATCATTTGCATATCTGGGTCACCCTCGTAAGTTCCAATTATCACCTCTGGGTGTTGACTTGGAAGAGGGCATTTACATTTTTAGGAGAAACGACTAGACAATCGAAAAAGATGAAATGTTACATTCGGGTGCGTGAATCATTGTTTTATGCCGCCACTAACTCTTTTTTTTGAAATAAAACTAAAACTTCTTTAGAATTTTATCGAGACCTTTTCCACAATTTTTCAAACTAAATTCTGAATACTACCTTTTTGGTACTTCTTAATCTTACTCGAAATGCGCCCAGAATAAGAGCAAATTTTTCAATCTTGGGTCTTGCTAATGAAAGAGTTCGTTACAATGCACGGAACTAGGATATACTAACCGGTATCAACCTAACATCCTCCCTCCCCCCCCCCCCCCCCCCACCCAAAAAAAACCGCCAAACCCAAACCGCCCCACCGGGGTCCTAAAATCTAAATTGCTATTGGAGGGGGGTTGGGAGGATGTTAGCTGATTCTTTTAATTCCTTTAACTACTGACTCAGTCCTTCATAAGGGAAAAACACTTTACAAAGTACTTTAGAGCGTCCCGAGTTTTAAGTTGTTTTACGGCTTTTTTGAACTCCGTGGTTGTATATTTCGCATGCTTGTGTAAAAAAAATAACTTTAGTTCTCATCAGTTCTCATAAAGATAGCCGGGTCAATTTATTGCTTTTTACGGCTGAACGGTCAAGCAATTTGTAATCCCCGGAAGACCTGCTCTATTCATCGTCATTTTTATGCACGATACCATTTCCTAAGGGTCCTTTCAAAAACACTCGTCACAGTTAACTTCCCCCAACTCATTTACAAGCCGTGACAATTTGTTCCATTTTGAAATAAATTGGATTTTGAAATAACATCCCAACTGTATATTAAAAAAACTAATCTGCTTTATCCGTCCTTGTCTGCTGGAGAACCAAAAAGTGCAGAATTTCCACGATAACAATTTCAATTCACTTCATTTCACATAATTTCGCATATATTTTTTGAAGTCCGATAGTCATGTTTTACGGACTGGAAAATAAAGACGACAGCTGTTAAGACGACATCTTTTACGGAGCAATTCTGATTACTTTAACCTTAAAATTTCTCGAATGCATTTAAGTTGCTCAGATGATGACTTTCAACGCTTTTTTCTGAACACCGGAAAGATTTTAGTGAAATTTTAAAAAAATATATATATTACAATTTCACCAGCCTAAATTTGACGTAAAAAATATTTGTAAGACTACATAATTACAAAGTAAAAAGTGTCGTCTAAGTTTCCTTTCGTATTTCTTACCTAGCGCCATATTTATGGTACTAATCGGTTCTAATGACTAGTATTTGTTTGGCTCAGGGTATTTTATACCCCTTCAAAAGCCCAAAAATCAGTAACTTCTAGCGGCGTTTATCGCATTATTTTGTAGTCATCAGACAAAATCGATTTCAGTTATTTTACTTCAGCTATTCAAACTGTATTCAAACTTAGGTTATATCTAATTATAATTTAGGTTATTTTATTATTTTCAATAACCAACCATGGAAGATCACGTGGCGTCTTCATCGAGTCCAGCTGATATTCCCAGAAACAGTTCCGGTATGCGACCAACTGCCTGCTCGAGCTATCGTCTACAAATGGAAGGTAAACTAAACTAAGTTCTTCTGGGGTCCCGAGAAAGGAAAGAAATTGTTGGCAGCAGGGGCGGATTTTGTGGAAGTGAGCGGGGGGGGGGAAGCTTCTCCCTTCACGGATTCGACTTCGACCCACTGCCGACCCAAAGAGTCCCCCTTTGTACTATTTTGGGATATCCATTTTTGGATAACGGACCCAAAAATTTTTCTAAAGGCGCATTTGGTGCCAATATACACTGAATTTTAGGGGAGAGCAACATTTTCCAAAAAGAGCCTAAAAGTGCAATTTTTGGTCTGTTTTTTTTTCAAAATTTTGCCTGCGGCGCAGAAAATTTCACCAAAACAGGGTCTTTTTAATGCTTTAGGAGAGCTCGGAAAATCAATTTGGTCGACCTTTACCATACCGACCTTTTACCAGATCACACTGCAATAATTCAACGGTGAAGTCCCATTTGTACCAACGTTCATTTGTACCAAAATTAGTCGACTCAATTTCTGATTGATCGAGTTGTGAGCCAACGAGTTATTGTTCCGACTTTCGATACGAAAGTAACGGAATATTTGTGCTCGGGGTGGGGTTTTTTTTTCTTCAGACAAATTTCGACTTTTTAACTAGCCGTTTTTGACGGATTTTTTTTAAATATCATTCGAAAGCTATTGTTGTCCTGAGCTCAAATTTGAAAAAATATTTCACCTGTGATCATTTTTTGTCAAGTTACGGGGGTTTAAAGATTGTAATTTTGGCCAATTTGGAACAATTAACGCGCGATATATTTTGCGCTATTAACGCGTAAGCGGAGAGTTAATCCGTCTTAGAAATCGTTCCAAATTGGTTGAAAGAAGCTTATTGGCCATACTTCATTTGTTACAAGGAGCGAAATCTATCCTTTTGTACTTTATATGGCGTGTGGGGGGATGATTTTCATAAAAAATTTCAAATTTTAGAAAAAAAAATACATTTTCTTTTATTTCATTTAATTTTTTAATGTTATTACTGCTTCATAAAGCTGAAAAGGCAGTCGGAACATTCAGGGCTTCGCCCTGACACGAGCAGTCTTGTTACATTAATTTTCTAATGTTCAAACAGAAGAAAACTAAGCAGCAGAATAGTGACCGCCGCAGTCGCGCCAACGTGTTGCGAGCTTGTCAACAGAGAGTAGGACTCTATACGAAAATTAGAGCCGGTTATCGCCGCGAAGCGCGACCTGAACCAAGAGATTGAAATAGTCGGCTTAGTAGTCTTTGGCCGATTGAATACTTTTGGTACTAGCGCGATTGATTTTTTATTTTGGTACAAATGGGACTGATTTATCTTTTTGGTACTTGTGAATATCCACCTAATTCAATTAAGATGAATTTAAATTACTAGACAATTCGAAAAAGAAGCGGTTAGAGCAAACAAAACTTCACTGAGAAGCCGTGAAAACATTGGCTTAAACCAGACTAAATAGCGCCATTACATCTGTCAATCAAATCTGTTTATCGAGGCTGGAAAAGTTCCATGTTATAATTCTGATTGGTTAAAAAAAATTATCGTAACTCGCCAAAAGTTTATTGTATTGTGCAGCGTTGTTCAATCGATTATCGATAAATATTTGGGATCTTGTTAACTATTTTCCCCCTTTTGGACCTTGTTAACTATTCCCCCACCCCCTATGCATGTAATGTTTTTGACAGCAATTTCTGATTAAAATATGCATTTCAAAAATGTCAAACTTTGAATGGGTTTTCATTTTCGCGCCATCGTATAAAAATTTTTCATTGAATATATTTTCTGAAAATTGTTTTAGCATTGAAAATGTGCCAGCCAAAGTTGAATTTCTGAAAACTAAAATAGGGGGGGGGGGGGAATAGTTAACAAGATCCAATATTTGTTGCAATAATCTAGGTTAACAATAATCTTTTTTACACTCCTGGTTATTGGAGACTTCTAGCTCTAAAATTACACTTAAAAAGGTCGGGGATGGTATTATTAAACAATGGCGTTCATTTTCAGGTGTTTTGCGAGGTTGGAAAATCAACGATAAGAAGAGAAAGGAGAAATTTTTTATCGGCGTGTTTTTGAAATCTAGACAGAATCCTTACAAATAATCGAGAAGCAGTTTTCAACGGGAAAAAAAATCTTTAATTTAGCAGGAATCGTATAACTGTAGAGACGCTTTGTACTTTCCGAAACAAAAAAGTCAGGACATAAAACGCGGACCTCAATCCAGGTGTTCATAGAGCCTCTATGAACTGTATAACTCTAATATGTTACACTTTTTTTTGTGGATTCTTTTGTCCAAGTTGTGCAATGATCTAATGATATAGAAGACGGCTCTTTTCCCGTTTTCACTCCACCTCACATAAGCATAAATTTTATGGTGTACTACGGGTTTTTATAAGGTTAATCATGAAGACCAAATATGTTTGTCATGGCCTAATTAGTTGGCACGTAATTTTCGTAACATTCGGATGATGTGAACAACCCCCCACCCAACCCTCACCAGCAAAAATAGTCCCATGCACACTTCTGATTTTATCATTGCCCTATTGTTTTCAGAGCTGGAGAATAGTCTGGGACGTCACCAGGTGTCTGTGTCTCTGGACCCGGAAGAGGAGAGTCCCATAGACCTGATTGGAGTGTATGAGGACATGGGGGACATACATCACAAAATGGAGGCCATAACTGAGGAGTTCGAGGTCCATACATACATAGATGAATCAGTGATAGATTAGATTTCAAAAGCTATAGGACAGCAGTCAAAAATTGGATGTACTTAAAATAGCAAAAAACTCTCAAAAAATGCACATGGGAATTAAAAAAGCCCAAAAAAAGACAATAACATTAAAATTGCTCTAATTTTAATACCTAATTCGGTGAATGGCAAGGATACGGGTCTGACCTAGACAGTGAACTTAGTGGCGTCCCTCATGCTGGAGGGACCGAATGCTTGAAATGTATTTTGGCTTATTTTCAGCCATTCAGAATGGAGTATTCAAAAATCTCATGGAAGTCGCAACAATCTCAAAGCAAGAAAATAAAACCAGGTCATTAGTATTATTTAGTGACCGATTATATAATAAGCAGATGAATGAAATTAATGCCGGATCGAAGACGGATTGGAACAAATTCAATATTTCTAGGATACCGACTTATGAAAAATGCAAAATAAAAAAAATAACTTTGTTATACCTGCACCTATTGTATAAGCATCTAGTATTTTTATTATATCATTTTCTGTAAATATTGAGTTCGATTTTCAGAGAAAGGCTTTTAGCCAATAGAAACAATTAGCGATTTTGATTGCTTGAAGTTTTTTCCAGCATTCGGTCCCTCCAGCATGAGAATCCTCCCAGTGAACTTAATATCGAGCATATCAAAGAAAATGGAGGCATTTTGGCGGGTATTTGAACAAACAAATAATTATTTGACAAATTGAAGAAAAATAAGAATAGTTTATGTAATAAATAGGAGGCCTAGGAAATTAGACGAAAAGCAAATTAGACGTGACCAAGAGAAACGAATTTAGACGTCGATGCAAAATCACAAATATAGGAAATTAGACGTAATTGTATTGTTCGGGTCTGAAATTTGTTTATTGACTACAATTAACTTTCGTACGAGCTTTCTTAAATCCAAATAAGATTTGCAAAAACAATTCAACGTTTAAATTCCGTTTGATTGGATCCATCTAATTTGCCTATCGTCTAATTTACTACCCCGCAAAAAATAGTGTTTCAATGTTCGGTTACCAATTTTCTTCTAATTGGGTGCTTTACTTCTGCTGTGTTTGCTTTACTATCTCTCATAATTGCCTAATACCACTGTCTGGATCAGACCCGTCTCTTCGTCATTCACCACTAATTCAAATCAAAATTTCAAAGACTGATGAAAACCTAAGTAATCATAAGCAACGCTCAAAACACTATAACACAACAATATTTTTGAGCGTATGATACTTCTGGTCATTATTGGTTAGTGTCCAGACAACTCATTTTGATCATAAATGTTTTTGAATAAAAATGATTTTTTTTTTGCCATAAGATCAAAGAACAAGAAGTCAAAGAGCAAGATTTACAAAAAAAATAGTGCTCCCAGCAATGTTACGCTACTGAGCAAATAATTGTGAAACCTTTCCAACCCACTAAAGCGCGCTAACTTTTGAGGCGACTTGGAAATCAAAATTGCTTGTATCAGGGTGAAACATTGAGTTTTATCAGAGCTCTTTAACGTCAATGAATTTTTTTTGAGTTTAAGTTTGATAAAAATTTTCAAAAAATGAAACACAATTTTTTTTCGTCATTTGTTTGACGTTTTTTTTTTGCAGCCAACAAAACAAGATGAGCCTCACCAAAAGTATTGAAAAGTTCAAGATTAAGGATTTCACAACCAGTAACGTACTATTAGGATCAAATTGCCTGCCTCGATTCAATTTGAATTAATTCAGTTCCCTGATTATTTTACGCTTTAATACCATAGGATTTACTTTAGATATACCTAACAAAATATGTTGCGGTAGTTGATTCCAATTGTCCAAATTGAAAAAAAAATAAACCCCAAACTTCCAAGAAAATGATTACTGTTGAAAAATCATAATTTTACAATGCAGCTCAGGAGGTCAAAACTTTCATGATGCTTACAAAGTTCAGCTCAGTAGTGGCTAGCTAACAATCGATACTGGTTTTATATAAAAAAAGCCTGGTCGTTTCAAGGCAAAACTATTATTGTTCCTACTTCCGATAAAATCAAAGGAAAGTTTTTTGGTTGAAAAAAGACAAAAATAATTCAAAAAAGGAAAACTTAGAAGAAACAACTACATCACGCATTCAGTAGGTCAACCCGTATTCAGAGCTAGGTTTAATGATCCATTATAAGAGTTTTCATGCAGATATTGCGACTATGATTATTGTTTATAATTACCAAAAAAGTTTGTTCAAACAATTCATACTCGATTATGCTCGTCATATTTTCCAAAAACTAAATTAATTTGTAATTAATTATAATCGCTTATACTTCCAGAAAATGATTTTTATTAAATCATTTTCGGTAAAAATTGAGTTCGATTTTCAGAGAAAGGATTTAGCCAACTGAAACAGTTAGCGATTTGATTGCTTGAAGTTTTTTCCATCATTTGGTCCCTCCAGCATGAGAAACCTCCCCAGCAAACTTGAGCATATCAAACAAAATGAAGGCATTTTGGCGGGTAGTTGAACAAACGAATAAATATTTGACCCATGAAATTGAAGAAAAATAAGAATAATTGTTGTAATAAATGTGAGGCCTAGGAAATTAGACATGACCAACAGAATCGAATTTAGACGTCGATGCAAAATCACAAACATAGGAAATTGTAATTGTATTGTTCGGGTCTGAAATTTGTTTATTGACTACAATTAACTTTCGTACGAGCTTTCTTAAATCGAAATAAACTTTTAGCATGCCCCACTTTTCACATTCAACAATTTTCACAAGCTTCAATTGTATAAATTTTTTGATGTGCAATGGGATCATATACAATTTTAAATTATGAAAGCTTGTTTTAAGCAATAAGTTTTGTTAGCCATGTGCTTTCCGTCTAAGATGCTAACTTTGCAAAAACAATTCAACGTCTAAATCCGTTTGATTGGATCCATCTAATTTGCCTATCGTCTAATTTACTACCCTGCATAAAATAGTGTTTCAATGTTCGGTTACCAATTTTCTTCTAATTGGGTGCTTTACTACTGTTGCGTTTGCTTTACTATCTCTCATAATTGCCTAAGACCCTGTCTGGATCAGACCCATCTCTTCGTCATTCACCACTAATTCAAATCAAAATTTCAAAGCCTTATGAAAACCTAAGTAATCATAAGCAACGCTCAAAACACTATAGCACAACAATAGTTTTGAGCGTATGATACTTCTGGTCATTATTGGTTAGTGTCCAGACAACTCATTTTGATCATAAATGTTTTTGCCTCGAAATGTTTTTTTGCTATAAGATCCGCCCTGAGGCGAAGCTTTGGGTTGGTCAGGAAAAAACAAAGATGCTTTTCGGAATAAGTTTGGCAACAGGAATTCAAAGAGCAAGATTTACAAAAAAAAGTGGTCCCAGAAAAGTTACACTACTGAGCAAATAATTTTGAAACCTTCCCAGCCCACTAAAGCGCGCTAACTTTTCAGACGACTTGGAAATCAAAACTGCTTGTATCAGGGTGAAACACTGAGTTTTATCAGAGCTCTTTAACATCATTTAATTTTTTTCGAGTTTAATCTTGATAAAAATTTTCAAAAAAATGAAACAAAAATCTTTTTCGTCATTTGTTTGACGTTTTCTGCAGCCAACAAAACAAGATGAGCCTCACTGAAAGTATTTGAGAAGTTCAAGATTAAGGATTTAACAACCAGTAACGTACTATTAGGATCAAATTGCCTGCATCGATTCAATTTAAATTGATTCAATTCCCTGCTTACTTTACGCTTTAATACCATAGACTTTACCATAGACTTTAGAAATATGATGCGGTAGTTGATTCCAATTGTCCAAATTGAAAAAACAAACCCCAAACTTCCAAGAAACTGATTACTGTTGAAAAATCATAATTTTACTTTGCAGCTCAGGAGGTCAAAACTTCCATGATGCTTAAAAAAATCAGCTCAAAAGTGGCTAGTTAACAATCGATACTGGTTTTATAAAAAAAACCTGGTCGCTTCAGGGCAAAATTATTATTGTTCCTACGTCAGACAAAATCAATAGAAAGTTTTTTGGTTGAAAAAAGACAAAAATAATTGAAAAAAGGAAAACTTAGAAGAAACAAATACATCACGCCTTCAGTAACTCAACCCGTATTCAGAGCTAGGTTTAATGATCCATTATAAGAGTTTTTATACAGATTTCGCGACAATGATTATTGTTTATAATTACCGAAAAGTTTGTTCAAACAATTCATACTCGATTATGCTCGTCATATTTTCCAAAAACTAAAATTTTTTGTAATCAGTAATCCTTCAGAAAACCTCAAGCAACGGCCATAATCAAATATCATCTCTTATTTGTCAAAAATGTTGTCACTCTAAGGAGAAATTGTAATTAAAAATAAAAGATTAAAATATTGCTCTCAATGGCAAAACCTCTACCCGAATTTACAAATTAATTGTCACCTTATACAAGAAAATTTGTCACCTTTTCAAAAAAAAGGTCGACAAAATTTTCGAAATTTTTTGAAAATCCCCCCCTCCCTCGAGAAAAGAGAAAATCCTAGATCCGCTCCTGGCTGGATTAATAATCATTTATAATTTATAATTGATTGAAAAATTCTACAGTTTTTTCTTTTTCAAATTTTAAAAACCATAATCGAATATTCATTGATTAAAATATATTTCAACTCAAATTTAGAAAGACTGATTTTGAAATCAAAACATCATCGATTAATAACGCTTCAAACTGGATGCAGGAATTGAGCCTAAATGACATTTTTTGCATTCCCGTAACTTTATGAAAAAAGTCGACTGACATTATATAATTTTGTTCCGACTTTTGATACGAAAGTAACGGAATATTTGTGCTCGGGTGGGTTTTTTTCTTCAGACAAAATTCGACTTTCTAACTTGCCATTTTTTGACGAGTTTTTTTATATCATTCAAAAGGTATTGCTGATGTGAGCTTAAATTTGAAAAGATATTTCACCTGTGATCATTTATCATTTTTTGTGAAGTTATGGGGGTTTAAAGATTGCCATTTTGACCAATTAGGGACAATTAACGGGCGAGATATTTCGCGCTATTAACGCGTAAGCGGAGAGTTAATCCGTCTTAGAAATCGTTCCAAATTAGTTGAAAGAAGCTTATTAGCCATAATTGATTTGTTACAAGGAGCGAAATCTATCCTTTTGTGTGTTAAAAAAATTCAAATTTTAGAGAAAAAAAAATTTTGATTTTGTTTTAATACATTTAATTTTTTAGTGTTATTACTGCTCCATAAACCTTAAAAGGCAGTCCGAATATTCAGGGCTTCGCCCTGCTATGAGCAGTCTTGTTTAAATTTTGATCTCAAGACATCATTAGTTTTCAGATAATGAAAAATTCCTCCAAACATAGCTAGTTGTTTAATTGAAATTAATTGAAAATGGCTCTTTAATTGAATTTCAGATCACAAACCCCCACTGGATTGATGTGGCTGCAGAGTGCAACAAGTATCCTTTAGGCACAAGCACCCAGATGTACCTCAAAGGTAAGGAACACAGGTCCGCTTTCCATTATTTGGTTCTCCCTTTCCTTAACCCCCCCTCCCCCGCTCCTTCCCAAAATAAGCATCAATTTTCAACTTTTCAGAGTAAAAAGGGATTTTAAAAGGTAATATAAGAAGACCAGATATGTTTGGAGGTTAATTCAATTTGTCAACTTGCTAATTTAAATTAAAATTGCACATTGTAGACAAAAACACGACTAGAAAAATCAGGGGGAAAAGAAAAGAGCCCATTAAACATATGTGATTAAACCCACCCCTTCAAACACACATATCAATTCGAATAACCAGTGGCAAAAATTAACAAGGATAGCCGGTTACCGTGCAAGTAGCACAAAATGTTCAGTCCATAGTCTTAAAAACTTGTTTCTTCCAAAATGGTGTCGTTTTTTTGTGTTGTATGATAAAAACATCTGGTCAACAAACTTTTCGTACTTTTTGATTCTCAAAATGGCGTTATCAAAGCTCCAAAAATTAATTACAATCAAGTAAAACTAAAGTTAAGCATAAATAAGCTATTGTGCCCGGCCTAATTTAAGCATAAATTAGCGCGTTCACTCACTGTACTCACTCGAAATTAGACGTCAAATCAAAAACTTCAAACCGATTTTTCTCGACATTGGGAATTTTTTTTTGAATTTTTTAAACGTCGCTCAAATCACGACTGAAAGGGCTTTAAAATGATACATCACTAAACACTATTCGATGATTCTTAGTGGTACCAAATTTTGCGTATAAAGCAAAAAAAATGAAAAAACTAAATCACACCCGAATGCAAATGGTCGGAACAAAATAACCGGTTTCTATACACAGAGCACCGAATGTTCCGATCACAATAAAAAATATTAGAAAAACCTTCAATTTAATACGTTTTTCACATTAGTGTCGTTTCTATTGTGTGTTAATATGAGAACGCGTAAAAAAATTATTAAATTAGGCATAATCGTCAAAAATTGTCTTCTAATTGTCAATTTTTTGCACAATTTTTTTTTCAGTTTTCAGCCTAAAAGATTAATTTTATTATTAGGAACGTTATTCGATGGTTCTTCTCATTCGCTTGAATTGCTTGATATTAGTCAACAACTCAAAAGTTTGAAACGGTTTTTTTTTCTGACACGCAGACCACTTTTGAGGAAACTTTTTAATATCATTCGAATCAGGACTGAAAGAGCTTTAATATAGACAAACACGCCATTATTTGTGGTAAATGCTTTTGCTTGAAAAACCAAAAAAAAAGTCTGCTCGCTCATTTTATTCGCTGGAAATTAGACTAAAAATCAAAAACTTCATACGGCTTTTTCTTGGAACCTGATCTAAACTATATTTTATGATTGGATAAATTAGATATTTTACCACTGTAAAGTATTTAATATTAACCAATCATGATCCATCTAACTAACAACCCACTTATTTGTAAGTGCTGAAGTTACTTGTAATTTCAGCACCAGAGAGATTTGAATTTAACTTAGAAATTAGTTGCACTCTCCCGAGTACTTCAGCAGCCGCATCAAACCAGTATACCCTAGATCTATTGAGCCTAGCAGAGAATAGTTAAACACCCTGAGACTAGAAAGTATAAGAGTAAGATTAGGATCGGTATTAGACTAAGAAGTTGCACGAATCTATCCGGCCGAAAATAAGATAGCGTGACGAGCAGTCGGTGTACCCTATCCGAAAATACTATATGAGTTAACCATATCGTACATAACTCATCTGGTGTGACCATAAGTCTCGAATAAGACCTTAATAGCTTAGATTTAACCGAAAATAGATTAGAATTTAGACAAAACATTTTAAAAATGTTATACGATAATAATTTAATCGAAATGTCTCTACGACTCAATAGATCAGAGCCGATATTCCGAGCGATAACAGAACTACCCGGAATTATAAGAAGACCTCGAACAAGAGACGACATACGACAAAGTAGAAACTTACCATATAGTTTTATGATTGTACGGCAAAAGCCAACACAAACTTTTATATTTAGAATCTTATTAGCAATGAATTTCGATTTTCATTTGCAAACATAAAATTTTGAAGTCAATCTTCATGATCATTTCAGGCGCTAAACAAATTTATTAACATACAATTACGATTGATAAAAAGATCTCTGATCGTTTTCTTAATTTCTGCAGTCTTATATAAAACATGTTTGAAAAAATTTATTGAAAATCAAAATAAAAATTAGTAGCATGACAATAAATTGTTAGTAATCATAAATCATCTGTTATCCAAGCTTCATCACCTAAACATAACAGCAATCATAAGCTCACTAATATCATTAAAATACTAAATCCTTTTCTTAAACAAATTTAAACCATTTTAAACTTAAATTCACTAAATTTAAAACCTGATCATCAAGGCCTATCCTTGGATCAAAAAGAATAATTTTGTTCTCCCCCACGCACTTAGCAAGTGTCTAACGACCTCAAACGTCGATTCACTATCCAAACCTTCCAAAAGACCAAAGATTAATAGAAATTTTTAAATAAAACTAACCATTCAAATTAAGATAAACAGTGAAGAACCTCGGTTATTCATCCTTCACTTGAACCCTCCTCTTACCAGACCCAGGATAGATCTTAGACTTAGTAAGTTTAAAATAGTACTAACGAACTACTTGCGTTCTAATTATGACTGAACCTTGTGGATCGATTTACTATTCTCCAACCCTTGAACACAATCACTACCCCTAAGTAAGATAAAGTAAGTTAACACCTTAGCTTAGACTAGCCACGAGAAAGTAAAAAATCATTCTTCGGAATCGATATACTTTTCTCTCCAACCCTGAACAAAAAGACCCAGGTTAAGTTAACCAAAAAATCGTAAGGACTAACAGTCTAAGAAAATAGAAATCACCTAACAACTTTTTGCATCCCTCATCCTAAACCTTATATCATTCAAAAATATAGGAAAAAAACAAACAATCGTTTTACACAACTGTGAGATAGATAACCAAAAATAAGATCTTGTAATCACACCTCATACACAAACAGTTGGATACATTAGAACAAAACGACTAACAATAAAAAGAAAAATAATACAAACAAAGACAAATCACACGAAAAAGATTTTCAAAAAATAGAAACGCATTTTCAGAATCAGAAGCCAGCAATTTAGATGAACTCTACAAATTAAAAGAATCAATTGATAAAAATTGTCCCAGTCACGATCAATTATATTTTTCCGATTCATAAACAACTTCAAAATCATCAAAAAAAGGAAAAAGAAGAATAAAAAAGCAATATAAACACAAACCAGTACACTTGTATAATTGGAATCAACCAATTAGACACATCGATAACTATATATTAACAGTCATTAAACAAAAAAATGAGCCACACTCAAAGTGACGATAAACCAGATTACGAAGAGGTTTACCCCTTCCTCATAGATGCACCCGATAATAGAGGGCAACATGATTTTTGCAAGAATTTACTCGTAAATTTGTTTGAACCCGGAATCAGCCCATGCAAAGCAAAATTCCCAGATGTAAAAATCAAAAGACAAATTATGGAACATTATCAGAAAGATATATGTAATTTAACACAATAATATGGAATCTACACCATAGAATTCAGCACACCAAATACGAATCATCGTAAATATGTAATTCAAACAGAATATCTTGAATTAGAATTTTCAAAAGTATTCTTAGATTATATCAAAAGCATACAATATCATAATTCACAAAGAGCAAACTCCATATTCACTAACGAAGTTTTTGCAATAATATATACATATATTTCTATATTAGAATTTATTCACAATACTAAATATAATCACAAAATATATAATCTCATTCAAAAGACACCTTATGAGTTTGCAGTAGGCACCGAAGAACTAAAAACTATTAAAGCACTTCAATTGTTTTGGCCACTGCTCCAAACTAAAAACATCATTCGCATACTAGCAAAATTACTAACAAATTCAGACATAAGACACGACATCTTCCCCCACGGTTTTTTCCCAGACGATTAACAGGTAAGTATAATATACTAATAAATTTAAATTAATACTAACCATTCTTTACTCATGTTTCTTTTAGATTTTTAGTCTTCATACCACGATCATCTGCAAAAAACAGAAAAGAAAAATAAAAAATAAAAAAAACTTGTTAAAATTATTTTAAACTTCATTAATATTTTCCACACGATAATCTGATAAAATTCATACCAAATGTAGTAAATTAATCTATAAATTTCTCCCCCAAAAGCAGTAAATTTAAATATGATGAAAATTTATAACTTTAAATTTCCCCAAAAACTTAGCAGTAAAATTGAAATTCTATGTAATAAATTGATAAAAATGAAAATGCAGTACTAATCTTTTGATATTTTCATTCATTCGCACAGGAATTCTATCCAAACTCGCACAGCTCGCCCACGAAGAATTGTTTAAATAATGAATTTCAATTTCAAGTTTTCACACTCAACAATTCTAACACACGATAACAAGTTTCAAACTTTCCTTTAACCCGGTTGGAAAGGAATTATATACTAAACCAAACTAACCAACGCAGCTTACTAAACACCACAAATCATAAAAATAACAGCATGACTAAGAAAAGAAAACCAACGGTACCCAAACCGGATTAACCCAGTTTAAAACTGGATAATTTATTTTTTTGAAGACTATTATAAAGTCTAAGAAAGAAATAATAAAACACAAAAAAGTCGAAAGACAAGCCCATAAAAAAAACAATTTGATTTTTGAAAAAAGGACACAACCAAAAAAACATAAGAAAGACCAACACAAACCCAACATAAAACGTTATCACATAACAGGACTTCTCAAAAAAACCGCACGAAATCAGACTCCCACTCCTGGCCTAACCCACCAGAGAGGACGTCCTGAGCATGCTCTATAGCCGGCCTAACCCACCGCGCTACATCCACGCTTTTTGATCACACTTCTATTTTTAATAAGAGGTACTCAAGGGTGAGTAACTCTTCGAAATAACCGAACTAAACCAAAATGCTTTTGTGAAAACAACTAACTAAATTCATAATTAAAAAACTGAACTAATAAAAATTATATAAAATGTAAATCATACCTTGCAGTATATAGATCAGCACACAACAACAAAGACGAACATCCAAAGACAAAATGACCCCACTATACTCGAACAAGAATGGCTAACCACAACCGATATGCCGTCCACAATCACAACTCAAAGGATTTAGAGTACGACTTGACTTCGCAGAAAAGGACTTCATTGAACTAGACCAATGACCACCTCGAGGTTCAAGTATACGTACAGATCCGAGTTACAAGGCATCCCCTCCACGCACAATCTCCACGCCATTCCCAGACGAGGTTGAACACAAAACAAATTCTCTACACAATACAGAAAAACCCGTCATAGCAAACCATTTTGAAATCAGATTGATTTCGTTGGGAAACACAGTCGTTGTCACAAAAAGGCACAACGATTGATGCCCCTAACTCCAGCGTCCTGGAACTTCTCTAGCAAGAGGAACCGGACAAGATTACGATGTTCGCCAAATACCAACGTTCATCATCCGTCCTTTGAATTGCAGAAAGATAATTCTGAAAAACTCTGTAAAACCCGGATGGGTGGAACCTGATCTAAACTATATTTTATGATTGGATAAATTAGATATTTTACCACTGTAAAGTATTTAATACTAACCAATCATGATCCATCTAACTAACAACCCACTTATTTGTAAGTGCTGAAATTACTTGTAATTTCAGCACCAGAGAGATTTGAATTTAACTTAGAAATTAGTTGTCTCTCCAAAAGAACTTCAGCAGCCGCAACAAACCAGTATACCCTAGATCTATTGAGCCTAGCAGAGACTAGTTAAACACCCTGAGACTGGAAAGTATAAGAGTAAGATTAGGATCGGTATTAGACTAAGAAGTTGCACGAATGTATCCGGCCGAAAATAAGATAGCGTGACGAGCAGACGGTGTACCCTATCCGAAATTAGTCTATGAGTTAACCACATCGGACATAACTCATTCTCGACACTGAGTATTTGTTTTTCAAACTTTTTAATGTCGTGCGACTGAGGGGGTTTAATGTGACATATCATTCGACCCTTTTAAATGATTATTTGTGGTACCTGATATTAAGTGGAATCAAGTTAAAACGCATCTGAATACAAAGTTACTGCCCATTTTCAAAGGTCCAAATAATAACATTTTTTGAATAAATTGACCAGTCAAACATATTTTTTCTTCATTCCTCAAAAAAAAAAAAAACGTCCTACCCTCTGCTAGCAATTTTTTGCGAGTTGTTTTTTTATAATGCGAGTTGTATTTTCTGCGAGCTGTCGCATTACGACTCGACTTTGACTTCTCTGAGTAATCGAATTTGCATGAAATAAGTTCCAATACAAAGTCTCCTTCCACCCGATGGTCGTTATTCTCCTTGTGAAATGTTTTCAGCGATTGAGTTGTCGAAGCGGGCATTTAGCCGACAGACTTGTCTTAACTGGCAGAGGATCAATGTTAGAGTGAACTGCAAACTGGCACGTAACTACCAACTACTCAGTTTCTACGATCATACTCTCGTCTATTTAGAACAGGTTCGCCTTCAGAGGTTCAATAAAAACGTTTCATCCTCATGGGAAAGGATCACAATTTGAGCTAATCGGCTCTTCAAAAAGATCCGGCGATGAGCCACTGCTTAAGAACTAGATGCAATTTTATTAGTCACTGCTTAAGAACTAGATGCAATTTTATTAGTCATTTTTTGTTTAATTGTTTTTTTTTTAAATTTTTTGCTTCACTTTTGATCTAATATCGGAAAATTCATTTGTACCAACAAAAAAACTGATGACTGCGGGTTTCAAACTTTTTTGCAAGTAAAATTTGCCTGCTCAGGATTTGAACTTCTGACATTTTAAATTCCAATTTAATTTAGCCAAACTACACTACATTTTAGGAGAAAGGAGTTTTAAGTATTTATTATGAAAAATTTCAGAAACAAAAACAAAAGCAAATGTTTTTTTTTAAAACAAAATGCTCGCGGCTATAAAAAATACTGCTAAGTTAGGCTTCAGTTAACATTAATTTTAAATAAAGTTTGAATATAATTTATTTATGCTTCTGGAACCTGATCTAAACTATATTTTATGATTGGATAAATTAAATGTTTTACCAATGTAAAGTATTTAATATTAACCAATCACGATCCATCTAACTAACAACCCACTGATTTGTAAGTGCTGAAGTTACTTGTAATTTCAGCACCAGAGAGATTTGAATTTAACTTAGAAATTAGTTGCACTCTCCCGAGTACTTCAGCAGCCGCAATAAACCAGTATACCCTAGATCTATTGAGCCTAGCAGAGACTAGTTAAACAACCTGAGACTAGATAGTATAAGAGTAAGATTAGGATCGGTATTAGACTAAGAAGTTGCACGAATCTATCCGGCCGAAAATAAGATAGCGTGACGAGCAGACGGTGTACCCTATCCGAAATTACTCTATGAGTTATACACTCCAGTCCTAACTCATCTGGTGCGACCATAAGTCTCGAACAAGACCTTAATAGATTAGAATTAACCAAAATAGATTAGAAATTAGACAAAAACATTTCCAAAATGTTATACGACAATAATTTAATTGAAATGTCTCTACGACTCAATAGATCAGAGCCAATATTCCGAACCATAACAGAACTACCCGGAATTGGAAGAAGACCTCGAACCAGAGACGACTTACGACAAAGTAGAAACTTGCCATATAGTTATATGATAGTTCGGCAAAAGCCAGAACAAACTTTTATATTTAGAATACTACCCGCAATGAATTTAGATTTCCATTTGCAAACATAAAACCTTGAAGTTACTCTTCAAAATCATTTCAGGCGCTAAACAAAATTAATAATATACAATAACGATTGATAAAAAGATCTCAGATCGTTTTCCTAAATTCTGCAGTATTATACAAAACATGTTTGAAAAATATTTATTGGAAAATAAAAATAAAAATTAGTAGCATGACAGTAAATGGTTAGTAATCATAAATCATCCTGTTGTTCCAGCTTCATCACCTAAAACATAACAGCAATCATCAACTCACTAATATCACAAAACACTAAATCTTTCCTTTACACAAATTTAAAATTTTATTAAAACTTAAATTCACTTAATTTTAAAATCAGATCATCAAGGCTTATCCTTGGATCTTAAATCATTTTCTACTTAATTAAATTTCAAATTTGATCATCAAGGCTTATCCTTGGATCAAACAGAACAACTTTGTTCTCCCCCACCCACTTAATTAGTGTCTAACGACCTCAAACGTCGATTCACTACCCAACCCTTTCTAAAGACCTAAGACTAATAGAAATTTTTAAACAAAACTAATCATTCAAATTAAGATAAACAGTGAAGAACTTCGGTTATTCATCCTTCACTTGACCCCCCCTCTTACCAGACCCAGGATAAATCTTAGACTTAGTAAGTTTAAAATAGTATCTAACGAACTACTCGCGTTCTAATTATACCTGAACCTTGTGGATCGATTTACTATTCTCCAACCCTTGAACACAATCACTACCCCTAAGTAAGATTAAGTAAGTTAACACCTTAGCTTATATTAGTCACGAGAAAGTACAAATCATTCTCCGGAATAGATATACTTTTCTCTCCAACCCTGAACAAATAGACCCAGGTGAAGCTAACCAAAAATCGTAAGGACTAACAGTTTAAGCAATTAGAATTCACTTAACACCCTTTTGCATCCGTCATCCTAAACCTTACGTCATTTAAAAACCTAGGAAATAAACAAACAATCGTTTTACACAATTGTGAAATAGATAACAAAAAATACGACCTTGTAATCACACCTCATACACAAACAGTAGGATACATTCGAACAAAACGACAAACACTAAAAAGAAAAATAATAACGAAACAAAGACAAATAACACGAAAAAGATTTTCAAAAAATCGAAACGCATTTTCAGAATCAGAAATCAACAGTTTAGACGAACTTTACAAACTAAAAGAATCAATAGATAAAATTTGCCCAATTCACGATCAATTATATTTCTCTGACTCAGAAACAACTTCAAATTCATCACAAAGAGGAAAAAGAAGAATAAAAAAGCAGTACAAACACAAACCAGTACATTTATACAATTGGAATCAACCAATTCGACACATTAATAATTACATATTAACAGTCATCGAACGAAAAAATGAGCTCAACGCACACCCCAGGTGACGAAACTCCAGATGATGATGAAATCTTTCCCTTTATAGTAGATGCAACTACTGATAGAGGACAACACATATTTTGTAAAAATTTACTCTTAAATTTATTTGAACCCGGAATCAGTCCATGTAAAACAGAGTTCCCAGATGTAAAAATCAAAAGACAAATCATAGACCACTATCTAAAAGATATATGCAACATAACACAACAGTATGGAATCTACTCCATAGAATTCACCTCACCAAACCATAATCATAGGAAATATACAATTCAAACAGACGATCTTGATTTAAAATTTTCAAAAGTTTTTTCAGAATATATAAAAAGCATCCAATACCATAACTCACAAAGAGCAAACTCCATTTTCACTAATGAAGTTTTCGCAATAATATATAGTTATATTTCGATATTAGAAAACGAAATCCCAATAACAAATGTCTCACCGACAGAAACATCTAAACATTTAAGAGTACGACATGAAATCACACTAGTCTCTAGTTATTTAAACATTATTAAAGAAAATTTCACGAAAGATGAAGTTTCACAACATACAAAACACGATCTACAAAAAATTTTGGCATGGTTCATAATAGATTATTTCACACACAATATTGATTTAATTGCACAAGCAAGAAAAAATTTTAGACCCCAAAATTCGAACGATGATACCGCTATCACAGAACAATCAGATTATGTTTGGGACCCCGAATGGTCTCATCACGCATTTATAAGCTTCCCACAATCAATCTCAAGTCAAGCAATAAGTACAATATCTTACATAAGAGATTATGTAAGAGTAATACCCTTAACAATTGATGCAACACCACTAAATTATAATACATTTCTGCCCGATACACAAAATAATAGTTTAAACTCTACAGTCATACATAACGAAAACCTCAATGGAAATAGGAATCTTACTCAACAAGATATCCAGACACCATCACACTTCATAAATGAAGAAATTGTACACACAACAACTACACAACAAAGTATTTCACCAATACGTCCAAATTTGACAACACCAAGAAATACAAATCCTTCACAAACACAAGTAACCTTACAATCAACCGTTAAACCTTCGGTTGCTCCAAAATATTCACATATGGATTACCAAACATACAGACCCATGACAATACCATCAAAAACACGCAAAACATTCAATAGAAACAACTTTGCAGACCATAATTATAATTATACACATCCATCAAAAACAAATTACCAACCACGAAGAAATTTTAACCAATATACAAGATCTCGAAACTGGGATAACCCAATGGCCCAACCTAATTCAATAAATTTCCAAACAAATCCTCCACAGGATCACAGTGAAAATTACCCATTTTTTCAACAAAATAAAAATAAAAAACAAACATCTTATCAAATGGATTATTTATCCTCAGATGATGATTTCTTACAACCAGACATATTTGCACCATATACTCAAGAATATCGTGGACAAGGAATACAGAAAACACGTACAAATCATAGGAATTTTTCTCCACAACCAATAGATGCACAACATCAACAACCAATTCAACAACAAAATCTAATTAATACACAATCTTTTCAACCAATTCAACAACAAAATCCAATGATTGCACACTCGTATCAACCATCACAAATGCAAAATGAAATACCACTCCCATATTATCTCCAACAACATGAAATAACAAGAAACCAACTTTCAAATTTTTCTCAAATGCCAAATGCAGCAGAATCATTACAAATGACAATGAATCCATACCTTATGGGTGGATCATCAATAACATCAAACAAACCTTTAATGGTTTTCACAGGAACAGACCCTGAATACTCTGTAGAAGATTATTTAAATGCAGTAACAGCAAACTTGATTTTAAACATTGGACCTGAACCAATTAATACGCCACTACATCAAAACTGGATACATCGACGCACAGCGTTGATACAAACAACCTTAGATGGCGCAGCCCAAAAATGGTTTTCAGTACTACCTCTAGAAATAAAATCAAACTGGAAAAGGTTTACACAAGAATTTTCAAAAATGTTTGACTCCGAAAGAAACAAACAACAACAAAGAGTTTTATGTAATGAAATTCGCAGATTACCAAACGAAACCATCAAGCAATTAGCAGTAAGAATCGAAACACTAGTTCGAAAAGCATATTCACTAAATACACACGACTATAAAAATACAAAGATGACAGAAATCTTAATGATGACCTTAACACCACAATTAAGGAAAATAGCAATAAAAAAGAGAGCATCCCATCCTTCCTCAATTCGAGAACCCGATTTAGATTTTAGAAAACTAGTAGACAAACTAGAACAAGCAGAAATCACAATGAAACTAGAAGAAACGGAAAATCTGAAATT